AAGCAACACACCATGTCAAACCCATACAAGTGGCCTGACAAAAACCAAGCATAAAGCTGGAGGGGGGGGGCAGGATGAAAGACTTCCAAATGAGGTTGACAAAGGAGTGATGGAGACATAAGTAGAGGCAGAGGAGACGAAATCAGCGGAAGTTCAAGAAGGAAAAAGAGGTTTAGCCGGCCAACATGGAGTCACCAAAAGTACCCAACACAGAATGGCTTGGAAGAAGGAGAGAATACAGGGGGGTGAGATGTATAAGCAGAAAAGGCATAAATGTGGAGGAGTTCAAGAAGGAAAAAGAGGTTGAGCTGGCCAACATGGAGTCACCAAAAGTACCCAACACAGAGTGGCTTGGAAGAAGGAGAGAATACAGGGGATGAGATGTATAAGCAGAAAGGCATAAATGTGGAGGCCCCTTCAATCCTGAGGATGAGAAACAAGAGACAAAAAATGATGGCACCTGGATTTAGTAACCCCTTGCTTGATGTAGGAGACCACTGAGGAGTTATCGAAATGCACCATAACCCTACCTCCACAGGAGATGGAGGAAATGAGACATGGCCTGATGAACTGCCAATAGTTCTAGAAGATTGACAAGAAGACCAAGAGTCAGAAATCTCCTGTGCATTGAGAAAAGTACCCCATCCCACAACAGAAGCATTTGTGAAAAGATGCCAATCTGGATGAGGAATACCAACCACAGTATTGGTTCTGTCCAATCATCAAGCCAAATTTGCTTGCAGGGTAACAAGAAGGATAACTGGAAAATCTAATAGATCCATGAAGAAATTCCATTGATTTCATAGTTTCTTGTCAAGAGAATGCATGTGAATACAGCTGAGTGGAATGAATGCTTTCAAGAAAGCCCACATCCCCAAAAAGAGATATGACCTTTTAAGCAGGCAGAAAAGGAGAGGATAGAGCCTTGAATACCAACTGCTCAATCTCCCGAAGATGGAGAAGAGAATATTGTGCCCCACTGCAATGGGAATTGAAGAAAATTTCCAAATGGATGAGATACTGAATTGGGGAAATAACAGATTTCTCCACCTTGATCATCCAACCTACCCTTGTTGCCTCTTCAAGTAGGAAATGAGTGTGTACTACCGATGCTGCACAGGAAGGAGCTAGAAGAAGCCAGTCATCCATATAATGATGAGTCCTGAGACATCCTGAGAAGAAGGGTTGGAAAGGGGGGGGGGCAGGAAACGGTAACAGGTGCCATATTGGGCTACGCCTGAGACAAATGGCCAAAGAGGTTGGAAAGGGTAGACTGTTATTGTACTGATGCAACTCGTGATTCCAAAGACTCAGGAATCATGTCAAAAATGTATCGCTGCAGAAATGGAGCTGTACGTAAATCATGAAGATAAGATGATGGTAAAGGGATGCGAGTTAAGGTCACATCACAAGCTAGAAAGTCCCAACAACAGAGAAACTATATATGTAAAGCTAAAACCAATGATGACAAATAAGCCAACATGGAGGAAAGAATGGATAATATTTTCTCAGAAACCCCCTCAGGATTTTGGTGGAGAGCCTCAGAGAGAAGATGGATCATAAAGAGATACTGTAAAAGAGTTGTGAGGGTAAGATAAAGCCAGAAAATTGGGCATGGGTCAGACTTACAGGAGACTACAAACAGGTAAAATGGACCCCAACAATTGTTGGGGGGAGGAATGCCAATCCCATCATTTATTTTTCAAGCAAATCAGTCAGCATGTGCCGGAAGACCCAGGGAGGGGAGAAAAACAAATAGGGATGGAAAGACTGGTCATGTAGTAAGGAAGGACAGGGTTCATAGAAAATAGGGGAAAGTGATAAAATGTCACATATTTGAGAAACAAAATCCAAAAAGACCATATTAGGCCTAACTCATTCCTCAAGCAGGGCATGGGAAGACATGGCAAAATCGGAAGGTGAAAATAGTCAATCCAAGTCCTCATCTGCTTGAACAGGCTCAGCTTGTTCGTGAGGATGTGGGGCAATGTTCAATTGACCCATGTAATGTTCAATCTCACGGTGAATAAATGCGGATAAATCCTCTGCCGGGTCACCCACACCTGTGGCCTGAGACATAGTGCTAGTTGCAAGTGTAATCCCCAAAATGGTAACATGAACTTTGGAATTCATAATGAGGAAGAGTCAACCAATAATCAAAAGTATAAATAACAGTGAGACTGTAATAAACTGGGATTAAAGTGAAGTTAAGTAACAGTCTTGAAAAAAATAGAAGTGAAAATAAAGAAGAACATGAAACTTTAAACAAACAAAACGGAACACATCCGAGCACAAACGAGAAGTGATAGTTTGGTAGAGGCTTATAGAGGGAGTAACATGAGTATGTCATGCTCCTATTGGTGGAGAAGTGATGCATGATGATTTACATGAGAGACACGTTGGAATCATTTGATTCCAATAAGGTGAAGCAGAAGGCTTGTGGCATGCGTAAAGAAAACATTTTGATACCCGTGGTTGGCAGAGCACAGATAGCCCATTGTGTAGCTTTGTGCTTAATTGCAAAACAAACAAACTAGACATCAAGAAAAACAACAGGGAATGTCCATAAAAACTTATTCCAATACAGTACTTCCCTCTTCTCACAAGATTAGCTATTCTTGTCCAGTGCTGCCCTCTATATGTAAACCCAATTTCTAGCATTGTAAGTCCACAGACATACCGCTGTGACACTGGGGGGCTTGATATCTAGACAAAGACTACCAAATATAAGTCAACACATGACATCCAGTTCTGACAGACACACATGTATATAGAAATATACACTCAGGTGTAAGTATATAAATTAAGAATATATTTTTGAAAGAGAAAATTACACATTTGATTTATTATAATGAATACAGAAAATTATAAAATGTACAAAATTCACTGAATAGTATTTCAAATGAGTTTTTCATTCTGCAAGGTACACTTTAATATATTATGCCAATTAACTATTGTTTTTATGCAATTAGTCTGCACTTAGAATTCTCTGGTAGTATGATTTTGATTAATTGCATTGTTAAAACATAAAAAAACTGACCTTTCTTATCCTGCTGTTCCTTTTCCTTAGCTAGGGCCTGCCTCCTAAGCTTCCGTCTGTGTTTTTTGAAGAGAGCTCTCACTTTTTTGTGGCTGTAACAGGATGTTCATATAAATAAAAATTTCTATTATTCATTCACTCTACATGTATATCACAGTATTTAATTAAAGGTCAGAACTAATTTCTGATGATAAAATTCTATCCAGTAGATTATGATCTAACCTTTAGCAACAATATTATTTTATTCCAAAATAGAGAAAGTTAAACTTTGTCCAACAAGTTATCATTTTAGAAACTATTGCCTCCAGCATTATTTGAAAATTTATGATATTCCCGTGTTGCAAGACCAAAATTACACACACACTTGTCTCAAAGGAGATTTAACAAAAAGATTTACATCACTTGTTGATGCAGGGTAAATATATGTATTTGTGGTCAACACCTCAAATGCAGAACATTGTGTTTTGGGATATTTTCAAGTGGCAATAAAAAAATCACTATTATTTCATCAGTGTTTATTTTCTGTTGTACATTGCCTAAAATAATGATCATTAAGAAAAAGAGGTTGAAATGCCACTCACCGACTTTATAAACCATGAATATTTTTAGGCCTGGCAATTGATGTATGCTAGGTCAGGGCTAGAAACCAATGAAAGCACTAATAACAACTTAGAATGAAAAATTTTAACATCCAGCAGAAAAAGTTGCAAGAAGCAAATCTGTATGCATTTGAAATTCAAGTGAATGAACAAGCAAGGGTACATTCAATGGAATTGCTTAGCACAGGAAAAATATACAACAGAAAATAAACACTGATTAAATAACAGTGATTTTTTATTGCCACTTGAAATTATTCCAAAATACAATGTTCTGCATTTAAGGTATTGACCACAATACTTCTTGATCAGCAAAAACAATCTATCTAGGCTAAAATAACCACATCTCATTGAAAGTACAAGGAAGAAATTAGGACCAAATATCCTTCTTAAACTGCCAAAGTCTTAAGAATAAAGGAATGGTCTAGGGAAAAATTAAACCATCACAAGAAAAAACAATATTGTTATAGAAGAATCAATAGCATGAAAGTTTAAATGATGATGTCTAAAAGTTAACAACAACAAAATATAAACACTTAAATGTAAAATGTAAAAAAAATCTAGCAGAAGTCAAAGGATCAAATGAATGTATAATAACAATGTGAAGAAAAAGTAAAGTGTTACAGTGATGAAGACAGTTATCAGACAAAAGATGTGTAGGGTATAAGCAATATAAGTTCCAAAAAGAATGTGACTGGAATTTTCATCCTGAATGGCATCTTATGCAATAAATAGGCTAAACATCAAGGTCAGAGATCACCATGGCTGATGAAGAAGTGAACCACTGACCAGAGAGAGAGAGAGAGGGTAAATAGTCAGTAGATCCACTAATACAAAGGTGTTATCTAGTTTATTTAAATTAAATAATGAGCCTGAATGATAATTAAAAGAAGCAAATTATAGAGAAAAATAAAAAAGTAGCAGCCAAGAAAGTCTAACATTCTTGAAATGTTGAGAAAGAAATCTTAAACTCAAAAAATAAAAAACATTTTGCTATTTGAAGGTCAAAAGAAGAATAACACAGATAGAAATAGTGACAGAAACTTGCATTTTATTTGATAAATCTGTAAAGAGGATTCTAATCAATAGGCATACAGCTAACAAAAGACCACCATGAAAAAGAAGATAAGAAGTGTCAGGATAAAACATCTAACAGTATGTTTGTTAAAACAGAGAATTCCATGAAAGATGAGAGAGATGTCCAAGAAAAAATGAAAAAGAGAGAACAAAATTTGATCAAGCCTCTGTCTGAATATGAACAAAACAAAGAAAAAAAGTAAAAAAAAATGGTATCCACAACCTTGGATACAGAAACACAGAAACTGGTTGGACTAATATTGACTGGAACATCCACCCTAAAAAATAAATAGGTCCAGAATTTGAGACCAATTTATGTACATGGACAGCTTGTGATTACACAATGTAGTAAATGAGATCATTGGATAACCCACAGTGTGCTCCTTCATTTCTTAGTTTAGAGATAGAGTGTACCTCCCCTTTTATGGGGAAGTACACAAAATAAAACAACTAAGACCACAACAATAGACTATTCTGCAAGTTTAGACTTAGACTTCTTGCCACTTGAAGTTTACTAAGACACTTATGATATATTTATGTCACAATCCTTCAGAAAAGTTGACCCTCTGAGGAAAGAAAAGAAAAAGTTTGCCTTATTTTCTTTAAGCACTTTGGTTTTTAATAAAGAGTCAGCAACATAAATAACCACAACCAACCATGAAACAAATGGTTATTTTTGATAGGTTCCTGATAATTACAAATTTTGAATTAACATGTTATGTATTAGCAAAAACAAACTTTATTGGGTACTTAAAAAGAAACGAAAGATGGGTGTAAACAATAAGTCGTAGTCATTTAAGAATACTCTGGAATTGTTACTGAATGGCACTAACAACAGTAAAATGTAAGAGTCTAGTATTTGTGGTTGTTGGAGCTTTACGCCCTTGAGATTGTATTAAATGTAGATTTAAGTTACCATTTTAAACATTAAACGAAATATAATCATTTAGTCTTTTTTGTTGTCTGTTGCATTAAGTACTTGTTTTGTTTTTGCATTAGGTCATACATGTATTTGCTTCTTTGATAATTACTATTGTGCATTGAAAATGTAATGAAAATTAACTACTTCAAGGCTAATATATCTTAACTACAGTATATTTAGGTATTTCATGAAAATTTGATTTGCAGTTATTAATGGTTAGTTGAGTAGCTTTTAAATCCCTTGCTCTTATATTTATACAATTGTTTCTAATACGTTTTCTTACTTCTTAAAAGTACAGATTTTACATTTACCTACAAGCATTAGGACTTAAGTTCACATCTGATACTACTCTCAAAAAAGAAAAAAAAAAGGTAAAATATTTTTTAAAAATCTTGTTCTTCTCCTTTTTTGACAAAATGTATGAGACAGTGAATAATTTTTTAAAAATCTTGCATAAAGATGATCCGTTATGTGTGTGTATTAGCATCCATGTTCCGAGTTGTCTGGCTTGATTACTGTAATTTTTGCTATGGCAATTGGAAAACTCTGACATTGTACATGAGCTATTTTTATTTAGGACTTTTGCCAGCGAAGGGGGTGAAAAATCCCCTGAAATAGGGTACATTTCCAATTTTTATATATATTTGGCTTGATGTTTTTTGTTTTTAATTATGC